TAATGGGATATGGGATATGGTATCTTCTAAAATCATATCCCTCATGTCAAGTAAATCAGTTTCCTAACCATTTGTGATACATATTAGACATAATCTTTTGTATTTATAATACTTGATACATTTCTGTAGTATATATGCTCATGTAATTGTTCATCAAAGATATATAGAAAACTCTTCTCTATCTCTCGTATCTTGTTCTCTGTTTCTATAGCATGTTTAAATATATGTTTTGAAAAGTTTTTTATTTTTTGAAAAAATTATCTTAAACAGCTAAAATTTGTGCATACTCATGCAAAAACTAGTGCCATCCATAACATAGAAAGCAGACTAAAACTAATTAAGTTTTTATATATATACATGTGCAAAATTCATAATTTTGTATAGACGAAGTCGATCTGCTCTAGATGGGAGGTGCTTAAATAATAATCTTGTATTTTGAAATATTTAAAAAAAAAAATAGAGAGTAAAAAATGAGCGATGATTGAGAAAGGCATATAATAAACAGATGTTACTGTAGTAGTGTTTAATGTTACGAAATTAGTGTACAGATTGCATCTATTTTAGCAAGAGATTGTAGGATATGATATATATTGTTATTTTAAAAAGTTTCTTCTACCACAAAAACAAAAAAAAAGAAACTTTGCTAATTCAAGGCCCAATTATGTTTTTGGACATTTAAGTTTGGTCTTAAAAATTAGGGCTTTACTTTGGAGCTCATCATTCTCGTAGATAAGAAGGTGAGTGCAGAGAGAACGGCTGCTTCAGCCGTCGGAGGAATCAGAACGCATTCGGAGATTCACCTGCAAACATGGTTCGTCTTCTTCTCTTAGTCTCGCTGGTTTGCCATTTGTTCTTTGGTTTATTTAAGTTACATAAGCCAATATAAGGCATCAAATCAAACAATCGTAGCTCCTACAAAACTTCCTGGTCTGAATCTTATCTGTGCGATGCTCTGTATTCTTTTTTTGCTGATTTGGTTCTGGGTCTTATCTAGTTAGTGTTTCTTAGTTAAATTGCTCTGTTTCATTCGGAACATTTGACATTTGGTGTACCTAGCAATCTGTATTATTGGTTATGGATCAATGTTCTTCTCTGTTCTATGACTTAAGCATCTTGAATGATGTATGTGTTATTCAAAGAATGGGACTTTAATGGTGAAGATTTGATATTTGTTCTGCAGGCAAGGGGATTGAAGAAGCATTTGAAGAGGCTTAATGCCCCTAAGCATTGGATGCTTGACAAACTTGGTGGTGCCTTTGTAAGTCACTTGTTTAAATCTTACTTTCGCTCGATATGTTGTATTTTGTTTCGATACCTAAAAATTGTCTCTTTTTCCCTGTGCTTAGGCCCCCAAGCCATCTTCTGGACCACACAAGTCAAGGGAGTGCCTTCCTCTTGTTCTTATCATCCGTAATCGATTGAAGTATGCACTGACTTACGGTGAGGTGATTTCGATCTTGATGCAAAGGCATATTCAAGTTGATGGGAAGGTCAGAACTGACAAGACATACCCTGCTGGTTTCATGGGTGAGTCCGGCTAAACTCTTTATATTTGATCTTAAATGCCATTTTCTTTGTGTGATTCTATGACTTAAGAGGCCATCTGTTCTTAACAGATGTTGTGTCTATCCCAAAAACGAATGAAAACTTCCGACTTCTGTATGACACCAAGGGACGTTTCCGTCTCCACTCTATCAGAGACGAGGAAGCGAAGGTATGGTTTTCTTCTGAATCCTTTGTATTGCCATTTACTTGATTACAGTTACGTGTTAAAATTGTGTGTTCCAACAAGTTTCCTTGTTTGCTATGTTGTGCAGTTCAAGCTGTGCAAAGTGAGATCGATCCAGTTTGGTCAGAAGGGTATTCCTTACCTGAACACCTACGATGGTCGCACGATCCGTTACCCTGACCCGCTTATCAAGCCTAACGACACAATCAAGCTCGACCTCGAGGCGAACAAAATTGTGGAGTTCATCAAGTTTGATGTGGGAAATGTTGTGATGGTTACTGGAGGAAGAAACAGAGGGCGTGTTGGAGTGATCAAGAACCGTGAGAAACATAAGGGAAGCTTTGAGACCATCCACATTCAAGACTCGACGGGACATGAATTCGCCACGAGGCTAGGGAATGTGTTTACGATTGGGAAAGGAACAAAGCCATGGGTTTCTCTTCCAAAGGGAAAAGGTATTAAGCTTACAATCATCGAGGAAGCTAGGAAGAGGCTTGCTGCTCAACAAGCAGCTTAAAACTGTTTTCTCTCAGTTGCAGAAAAACTATGTTCTTATTTCTTGCATCCTTTTGTTTTGAGTTGCTTTGTTTTCAAGACTTTACTGCCTTTAGAGTTCCTTCTGTTTTCAGACTTTGAATCTCCTTCGGATCATTGTGAGCTCTGTTTTTCATGGACCTTTGTGTTATTATTTAGGAGTTTGACTTCAACTTTTGTGCTATTTCCGAAATATATTTGAAATTCTATGGCCTTTCCGTTTCGAATTTGGATTCTTCCAAAAGGTATGAAGCATTTCCATACACTAAAAGATAACGATCTCAAGCCAAAACTGAAAAGCAGGTCATAGTTTTTCTTTTTTTGTACACACATGCCATAAATTCGAAGGGGAGCGACCTGAGCAAGAATCACGCAACTCACGCGGTGTCGGGGATTGTAGCGACCGTGGCGAGACGCGGTGATAAACCCGATGGACGTCGTGAAACAGAGGCTTCAACTCAAGGTAAGTCCGTATAACGGTGTTTTAAACTGCCTGAGGCGTGTCGCGATGGACGAAGGGACATGGGCGTTTTACTCTTCCTATAGAACCAGTCATCATGAACGCTCCTTTCACTGCCGTCCACTTCACGACCTATGAAGCAGCTAAGAGAGCTCTCTTTGAGATATCACCGGAGAAATCTGACGATGGGAAGGTTATGGTTCACGCGACTGCTGGTGCTGCCGCAGTGGCTTTAGCCGCGGTCGTTACAAGTCCACTAGACGTTGTCAAGACAAGACTTCAGTGTCAAGTAAGTAGTTGCCAATAGTTACTTGGTTTGGTTCTGTTCTTGGGTCCAAACCATGCTAAAAGTGAAAGTGAGTGGTTTTGGCAGGGCCAGGGAGTTTGTGGTTGCGACAGATATGCAACGAGTTCGATAGGGAAAGTGATAGAGAGTGTGGTGAAGAGAGATGGTTATGCTTTTCCATGCTCCTGCTGCTGCTATTTGCTGGTCCACTTATGAAGCTTCCAAATCCTTCTTTCAAACTACTCCATAACCAGCACTAACTCTTAACGCTACCTATTTACTTCTCTACTTGTTGTAGTATCTATTGTAAAAGCCTAAAGTTTTATTATACCTGTGTTGATCACCCTGCTACTGTAACTCTCATAGACTCCTACTACTTCAAAGTAGATTTTCATTGACCCATTTTTTTTACCGAATAGGTGAAAATCAGAGAGTCTGGTCACCTAAGCAATCGATCCGATCCAAAACTGGATTGAAATAACTGACC